CAATCTGGTGACTATAAAAGAAGCTCCGAAGGTTGTAAACACAACATCCCCAAAGTACAATCCTAACGCCCGCTGCGCTTATCACTCTGACAGCCCGGGGAATACTACGGATGATTGTTGGGCTCTGAAGAATAAGGTTCAGGACCTAATTGATGCTAAAGAGATAGAGTTCGAGGCGCCCGAAAGGCCCAATGTTGTGATTGCTCCCATGCCCAAGCATGGAGTGAATGCTGTAGAGGAAGACCAGTTTGTAGCCTCTGTGGATGATATTGTTACTCCGCTGATGACCGTCAAAAGGAACCTGTTTCTAGCCGGTTTATTTCCGGGATGTAGTGAAGGTTGCCATCTATGTTCTGTTTCACCTGCTGGTTGCCCATCTTTAAAGTCAGGCATCCAAAGCCTGATGGATAATAAAGAAATCCTGTTTGAGAAGATTGTTGTTCCTGCTACCCCTACTGAAGAAGTGTCCATTGTCACCATTTTCAATAATTCTCCCAAGGCTCCCTCAAGGAAGCCTGTCAAAATTATGCCTGCTCAGAAGATTGTACCTATAATCATCACTGTTCCGGGGCCCATCCCGAATACATCCGACAAAGCTGTCCCATGGCACTATGGGGCAGATGTTTATGTTCTTGGAGTCAAGCAAGAGTTTGATACTAACACTGGCGTCAGCAACATCACCGGGCCTGCCAAAGTCACCCGCAGTGGTAGACTTTTCTCACCAGATATCGCGCCACCAATTATCCAGAGACCTCTTGTCATCACACTTGCAAGTGTGCCTACTTCCCTTCCTGATCAAGTTCCTATTTCCACCCCTGCTGCCGAGTCATCTGGCGCTCGGGGCAAAGGGATCGCCACTGATATGCCTGCCCAGACGGAGGCACAAAAGACCACCACTGTTGAAGCTTCCAAACAGGAGATGGAAGAGATTCTGAAGATCATTAAGAAGAGTGATTTCAACGTGGTTGAGCAACTGGGGCACACCCCATCTAAAATTTCTATGCTATCACTGTTGTTGTGTTCAGAGGCCCATGCCAAGGCTCTGATTACCTTCCTGAAGACGGCCCACGTTCCACAAGAGACATCAGCTGACCAATTTACCGATTGTGTGGCTAACTTAACTGCTGAGAATGGTTTGGGTTTCTCCGACGCCGATCTGACTGCTAAAGGGAAGAACCATAACGATGCCCTGCATGTCTCCATTGAATGCAGGGGCACTACTTATACGTCCAAACCAATTTTCAATGAAACCCCTTCTATGCAAATGACGTGCTACTTCTTCCGGGTCACTAATTATTGGTCTACATTCACATTTAAGACATGGACACATAACTCCTCATTCGCTTCGACAACATTCCTGAGCAAACGCCTATGTGATAAACTCATTAACTCCTTCTATAAAATGGGGTTTAAGTGTACGTCTTCCTGAATATAATTTATCGTACATCCAACTACGACCATACCGATAATATTCCATACTGTACATTTATACAATCATTGGCTTATTATTAACTATAAATAAACATTTAACTATAGTAACTATAATTAAATTTTATAACTATTTTGAATATATATATATATATATATATATATATATATATATATATATATATATATATATATATATATATATATATATATATATATATATATATATATATATATATATATATATATATATATATATATATATATATATATATATATATATATATATATATATATATATATATATATATATATATATATATATATATATATATACCATAAATTTAATAAACATATTAATAAACATATTGAATATATATTAACCATACTTTTTTTAACAAAGATATTATTCTTTTAAGAAATATAAAATATTAATTATATTTTATTTTAAATGCACATATATAATATTCTACTTTTAATATATAATTTGTTTAAAAAATGAATTAGTCTATTTTTAAAAAATATATAATATATTTCGTTTTTTATTATATTTAATTTATAATTTTTTTTTTATTTAAAAATTAATAATATTTTTATACCTAACTATTATATTCATGTTAATTTTTTTTATTAAAATATAATTTTTTTTATTAACATAAATATATATATTTTGTTTTGACTATTATATTCTATTTTGACTATAAAAATAAAATATATAAATCAAAATTGTTTTTATTAAAAACTATATGATAAAAATTCTATAGTAAAAACTGTTTTATATATCAAAATAAAAACGGTCATATAAATATATCTGAGAATTTATCGTGTCCACAAAGATTGGTTATTGAATTGTCGTTTGACAAATATCTCGTTAATGAGTTTGGGGATAAATGGGTTTGTAAAGAAAATATTATCAACAGAATAAATGTAAACAAAAGTAAGAACTAAGGAAGAACTTATCAAGCCTGCATATAATCTACTCATCACAGACTTAAATCTATCGACCAGTTACATTCAGGCTAACAATACTCATCAATGTCACCACGTATCACTCACAACCTAAGTCATTTCTAACCCAAATTGAGATACAGAATGTATCATCTCAGAAGTGATATCTCTACTTCCTTACCAACACAAAAGACAACTGTATTACTCGCACTGACGATCTCTCAGCATAGCACAACCAACACAGAGGCATTATGCTCTGATACCCAAGTAGATGTCATCTCTAAATCTATCTCTAGAGTTCAGAAACTAACAGATAATCATCCTAGATAAGAATCTAAGCAGTATATATCTATAACAACTTAAATCCCTAGGACAGAGGAAAAATCTAAGATAATAATCGACAAAGAGGAAGAGAAATGAACCACAAATCTCCCGGTTTGTCATTGCTGATTGATGAGAAATCCACCCCATATCATCCGTATGCAAGCTTCAATGTTATTTTCTAAGTTAATCCTATCCAAAAATAAAGGTTGATGGAGTTGGGGTCAAAAATACCCAAAACCATACCCAAAAAAATATGTTTTTACACCTAAATATACATTTTTGACTGTCCAGGATCGCCCGACGATCAAAAAGCGTCGCCCGACGATCAAAATTTTCGCCCGGCGAAAGATGACACCAAGATGAAAAACCAGCACAACATTCTGCACTATTTCACCCATAACTTTTAAACCGTAACTCCGATTTGCACCTGGTTCGAAGCATTAGAATGCTTATTCAATACTCCTTCTAACAATGAAAAATATCAACCAAATAGATGATTTATTATTATTTTATTTTTGAGCCTTATTCCTTGACGAGTTACTCAAAATCGCGCGTTTGAAACTGTGTCTTTGACACTTTATTGCTCATGCTCCAAATACACATCAATACCTACAAAATGAATGGAAAAATATCAAACGATGCCCTATGTACACAGAAATACAAATAAACACAAACTAAATGTATTTATACAAAAGTCGGGTTTATTCAACGATATTAACAACAAAAAGTCGATAAGTGCAACAAAAAGTATGTACAAAAATAACTACAATTTGCACTTATCACTGGCGCAGACCATGCCTTACTTTTATTATTTAAATTATAAAATAATTTAATGACGTGATTATCGCGTCGCAACTACTAAATTTTAGTGACATGATAATCACGTCACTAAAACACGTCGCTAGGGAATCTATTTCTTGTAGTGTATGAGACTTTGCACAAATTGTTCAATCGATGATGGTTTAGAAGAAAAAATAGAAAAAAAATACTTTTACAAACTTATGCAAATACATTGTTTTAAAAATCTAACTAAACAGATTGTATTGGAAATTGAAAGGGTCACGAGTCTGATATAATTGTTGGATCATATATGTTATTGAATTAGTGAGAATCAGTCAAAATTGATAAAAATCGATGAATCAACGATTTTAGAAAACCGACGAATTAAATGTATACTTTATTTTACTTAGATAAAACAACATCGTTTTAATAGTTTTTTAAAGAAAATAAAATTAAAATATAAGAAGATTTTGTTCAAACATGTTTTCAATTTTATAAAATTTCAAAAATAAAACTTTTTAAAACTTAATTGAACCAACTATAAAGATATCACTTTAATATATTCTCTTTTCTAAGTAGCATTTGAACAATGTCAATGTGAATTAAAGTTAAACAACCATCACAATACTAGGGCTAGCACTCACATAAATTAAACTTGAAATAGAAACGCTAAAGAATGGTTAAAAAATAGAATATGAAAAGAATGACTCTAATGAGAAGAAGATGCCATTCACTCATTGTTTACTAAAAATTAAAAAGTTAAGAAGAGAAGCATAGTTCAAATTTTAGTTACTTTGAGAAGTAATATATTCTTTGCATATAGGTAAATTGTTAGAGAACCATCCAAAGAGCATTTACATGGTTATAGTATGATTCCAAAACTGAATTCAAAGTATTGTCTTTCACTTCCATATGTTTATCTCAAATAGGAACTTAATTCATTTCAAAGAATCGAAAGTCTTTGTGCATAGGGTATTGATGCAATGCTACCCAGGGTATTGCTCTGCATGTGTGCATGTTTGGAACAATACACACTCAAGTCTATAAAAGGAGATCATGAAACGCATGTTTGGAATAAGTACACACTCAAGTCTTCTCTTTCAACTATAATCAGCTAAATCATCACCCTCTAAAACTCTATTTACCATCACCAACAACAACATCAGCAGGAAACTCTATCGATGTGAAACAATTTCATACACGGGTTTTGTTACCGTTATGTTTTTACTCTTCCTCGATACACTTTGTCACTCATACTAGCTTCAAATTCTTTTGAACTTCAAATCTTCAATTCAAACTTTTCATGGAACTCTTCAAATTCACCCTGTAACTTCTACGGAATTCTTTGCAATTCCAAACATTCTGTTACACAAATAAACCTCCCAAACAAATATCTCACCGGCATTGTTCCTTTTTATATCATTTGTAGTCTTCAATATCTTGAGAAAATCTCTCTGGACTCCCATTTTTTGCATGAAAATATCTCCGAGGATTTGAAAAATTGTACCCACCTAAAATACATGGATTTAGGTGCAAATTCATTCAACGGTCTAGTTCCTGAGTTTTCATCTTTGAATAAGTTAGAGTACTTGAATCTAACTTTTAGTGGAACATCATGGAAACTTCCATGGAAATCATTGAAAAATCTAACAGCAGCCTTGGTGATAATCAATTTGAAACACCTTCCTTTCCTTTAAGTTATTAGTGTTTGACTGCAAAAACTTCAACAGTTTGTAGCTCAACCTTGTAAACATTCCCTGGCAATCCTGTTCCAATCATATTCTCAGCTTTGATTCCACCAATAATTTCATTCTCAGTTTGTTATTGCTATTTGGTTAACAAAGGTGTGTAACAGTTTCTTTTTTCTGTTACTAAGGTTTGTGGTTACTTTTAGAGTTATTGTTGTTAATAAACTAAGATATTTAACATTAAAAAATCGGGATGGATGATTTCTTAATAAATTTAGTAGAATCTTTCTCTTTTATTTCGTTATCTGATTCCTTTATGTTTTATTGTTGATTCAACTAAAATATTTTAAACTAATTCTATGCTTTAAGTGTGTTAAAATCTCTCTGCTCAAGTATCTTTCATATATTAAACATTTTCTCTTTACATTTTGCAGATTCTGCGTAATAATAGAGATGAAGACAAATAAGCTGTTAAACATTAATAAGAATGAAATTATTGGTGGAATCAAAGCTGAGAATATGATTGGAAAAGGAGCATCAGTTAATGTTTACAAGGTTGAGCTACAAATGGTGAAGTTTTTGCAGTCAAACACATAATGACTCCAAAGGAGAGGAAGCTTTTTCAAATATGGATTATCACCAAGGCTTAAAAAAGTGAGTGTTTGTTAGATTTTCAATGATTTCCATGGAAATATCCCTGAAATTCCACTTAAATTTAGACTCAAGTACTCTAACTTAATCAAAGATGAAAACTCATGAAGAGGACCATTGAATGAATTTCCATCTAAACCCAAGTACTTGAGGTTTGTACAATTTTTCAAACCCTTCGTGATATTCCCATGCAAAAAATTTGATTCCAGGAAAGTTTTCTCAAGACACGGAAGACTACATATGATATCAAAAAGAAGAATGCCGGTGAGATATTTGTTTGGAAGGTTTATTTGTGTAACAGAAAGTTTGGAATTGCAAAGAATTCCGTAGAAATTGCAAGGTGAGTTAAATGAGTTCCATAAAGCAAAAACATTTGAATCAGAAGTTTGAATTGAAGATTTAAAGTTCAAAAGAATTTGAAACTCGTATGAGTGAGAGGAAGAGTAAAAGTAGAGTGATGACAAGAGAATGATTTGCATTGTGATTCATGGAACTCACACAGCTTCAACTGCAGCAGGTTCGGTAGTTGGTATCGCTAGACGTGAAGCCAGCGGAATGGCAACAAAAGCTAGACTCGTTAGTTTGATTCTGATATTCTTGCTTCTATGGATGAAGCTGTTTCAGATAAAGAGTTTTTGGCTGTGTTTCTTTGGATTACGTTGATGGTTTACCTAATTATAATTTATAAGCTTCCTTTAGTTTATGCTAGTGATTGTGGTTGTAGTTCAGAACTGCTTCTGGTTTTATACAGCATTCACACGTTCAGAACATTGGAAGCCAAAATCAATCAGTTCAATTCTAAAAATGGTATTTTATATTATAAAATAAATAATAAATAATATTTTTATGAACCAATCGACCAATCATCAATGTTATTGAATGCAAGGTGATCTTGACTATATTATGTTTTGAAAAATTGCGGACTATATGTGTAGAGTAAATTAAGTTGAGAAAATAACTATCGGCTGATTCAGTAGTGATTGACGGCTGATTCAGTAGTGATTGACGCGGAATTTAGAAGGCAGAACTACGGTTAAGTAAGGAAGACTTATATTTATTTAAAAAAAATTCAAATTACATATTATAAAAATACATTTTAAATCAGTTTCTTAAAAATCAAACCAAATCATCCAATTGAACCGGAAATATAAAGGCACTGGTTTGATTTAATTGTTAGATCGGATAAATTATTGAACCAATGGAAATCGATTAAAACCCACCAAAATCGATAAAAATATTCTCTCTTGCAGAATTTTAAAAAAATTTACACAAACAAGAAAGAATAAAATCGTTTGGTTGCATTGCATCAATACTCTCTCTACAAAAGACGTTCAATTCTTTGAATTGAATTTAGTTCCTATTTGAAATAAAGATTCTATATAAGCATGTGGAAGTGAAAGACAATATTTTGAATTCAGTTTTGAAATCATACTATAATCATGTAAATAATCTTTGTATGGTTCTCTAATAATATACTTTTATACAAAGAATATATTACTTCTCAAAATAACTAAAACTTGAACTATGCTTCTCTTTTCAACTTTTTAACTTTTAGTAAAGAATGAGTGAATAAGAGTCACTTTCTCACTTTCATATTCTTTTTTTATCATTCTTTGGCGTTTGTATTTCAAGTTCAATTTATGAGAGTGCTAGTATTGTGATGATTGTTTAACTTTAATTCATATGGATATTGTTCAAATGCTACTTAAGAAAGTATATTAAAGTGATATCTTCGTAGTTGGTTTAATTTAGTTTTTAAAAAGTTATTTTTATAAAATTTATGAAATTAAAAATATATTTAACCAAAGTCTACTTATATTCTGAGTTAAGTATTGTATTGATGTGCAGAAGGTGCAATTTGGTACTCATAAGCTGGAGAAGGAAGCTGAGGATCGGTGGAACAACATTGTTCAGAGGTTTGATGAAGATCGTATTGTGGTTACTTGGGCTCTTTCCCAGGATGCTTTTCTGGAAAATTATTTTCCAGAATATGTACAGGGAAAGAAAGAAGTGGAATTTCTTAAGCTGAAGCAAGGTAATAGGATTATAGCTTAGTATGCTGCAAGGTTTCAAGAGTTGATCAAGTATTGTCCGCATTACAATACTGCTAATGCTGAAAGGTCTAAGTGTCTGAAGTTTGTGAATGGTTTTGAGGCATGATATCAAGAAGGCTATTGGTTATCAATAGATTTCTTGTTTTTCTGAGTTAATGAACAAGAGTAGGATTTATGATGAGGATAGTATTGTGAGTGCTGCTTTCTACAAGAGTTCCTATGATAGGAAGGGAAAAGGTCAATTTCGTGGGAAGCCGCATGATGATAAGAGGAAGAAACAAGCTGGTTATGGCAAAAATCCTAGTGGGGGAGGAGCTTCTACTTTGATTAAGTGTTTCAAGTGTGGTGTAGAAGGGCATCATGCTTCTTAGTGTGAAAAAGATGTTGGAAAGTTCTTTAAGTGTGTTGAGAAAGTGGATGAGTCTGCGTAAGATGGTGTTATGTTGTTTGCTTTGTTGGAAACATTGGATCTTAGTGAGAAGCGAACTATGGGTGATTTTCCTATCGTTTGTGATTTTCCTGAATTATTTCCTGAATATGTAAGTGATTTTCTACCAGAGCGTAAAGTGGAGTTTACTATCCATTTGATTCTTGGAACTAGTCCTGTTTCGATGGCTCCATATCAGATGTCAGCTTCTGAGTTAAAAGAGTTTAAGAGTCAACTTAAGGATTTACTTGAGAAGAATTTTATTCGTTTGAGTATATCACCGTGGGGTGCACCTGTTTTGTTGGTTAAGAAGAAGGAATGATCTATGAGGTTATGTATTGATTATAGACAACTAAACAGGGTGATTATTAAGAACAAGTTTCCACTTCCGAGGATTGATGATATGATGGATCAATTGGTTGGTTCATGTGTGTTCAGTAAGATTGATTTGAGGTTTAGGTATCACCAGATTCATCTGAAGGTTGAGGATGTTCAAAAGACTTCTTTTAGAATAACGTATGGTCATTATGATTATTCTGTAATGCCGTTTGGTGCGACCAATGCTCCTGGTGTATTTATGGAATATACGAATAGGATTTTTGATGATTATCTGGATCAATTTGTTGTTGTGTTTATTGATGACATTTTGATCTATTCTAAAAGTGAAAAACATCATGTTGAGCATCTGAGGATTGTGTTATCTGTGTTGAAAGAGAAGAAGTTGTATCCTAAGCTTTTTAAGTGTGAGTTTTGGATGAAGGAAGTGAGTTTCCTTGGGCATGTGATTTCGAGTGGTGGTATTTCCATTGATCCTGAAAAGATTAAGGTTGTATCTCAACGGGAAGCTCCTAAATCTATTTCTGAGATTAGAAGTTTTCTTGGTTTGGCTGGTTATTATCAGAAGTTTATTGAAGGTTTTTATAAGTTGGCGTTACCATTGACGCAGTTGAATAGGAAGGGTCAAGCTTTTATTTGGACTTCGCAGTATGAAGCTAATTTTCAAGAGCTTAAGATAAGGTTGAAAACCACTTCTATTTTGATTTTACCAAATCCAGCAGAACCATTTGTGGTGTATTGTGATTCTTCATTGATGGGTTTAGGTGGTGTGTTGATGCAGACTCATAAAGTGGTAGGTTATGCTTCAAGGCAACTTAAAGTTCATGAGAGGAATTATTCGATGCTTGATTTAGAGCTAGCTATTGTTGTGTTTGTTTTGAAATTTTGGAGGTATTATTTTTTTGGATCAAGGCTTGATGTGTTTAGTGATCACAAGAGTTTGAAGTATTTGTTTGATCAGAAAGAGTTGAATATGAGGCAAAGAAGACGGTTGGAATTCTTGAAGGACTATGATTTTGGTTTGAATTACCATTGAAGTAAAGCGAATGTTGCGGATGATGCTTTGAGCAAAAGGTCTTTGCGTATGTCGATGTTGATGGTGCGAGAGTTGCATTTACTTGAGAAGTTTAGAGGTTTGAGTTTGGTTTGTCAAGAGACTACTTCTGGTGTTAAGCTTGGTATATTGAAGCTTACTAGTGGTATTCTTGATGAGATTCAAGAAGGTCAGAAATCTGATTTGGTTTTGGTGAATAAGTTGACTTTGATCAAACAAGGCCGAGGTGGTGATTTCCAGATTAATGAGAATGGTATCATGCGGTGTCATAATGGAGTTTGTGTTCCAGATGTAGGATATTTGAGGAAAAGGATTCTTGATTAAGGACATCATAGTGGTTTGAGTATTCATCCTGGAGCTACTGAGATGTATCAAGATTTAAGGAAGTTATTTTGGTGGTCAGGTATGAAGAAAGATATTATAGAGTTTGTGTATTCTTGTTTGATCTGTCAGAAGTATAAGATTGAACATCAGAAACCATCTGGATTGTTGCAACCGTTATTCATTCCTGAATGGAAGTGAGTTAGTATTTCTATGGATTTTGTTTCGGGTTTTCCGAGGACTCAGAATAATTGTGATGTTGTTTGAGTTATTATGGAAAGATTAACGAAGTTTTCTCATTTTGTTCCGATTAGGATGGATTATCTGATTGAAAGGTTTGCTAAGTTGTATATTGAGAAGGTTGTGAGTCTGCATGGTGTCCTGTTGAGTATTGTTTCTGATAGAGATCTGAGGTTTACTTCGAATTTTTGGGAAGGTTTGCAAAGTCCTTTGGGTACGAAGTTACGTTTGAGTTCGGCGTATCATTTGCAAACTAATGGTCAGATTGAGAGGATGATTCAGTCACTTGAGGATATTTTGAGAGCTTGTGTTTTAGAGCAAGGAGGTGCTTGGTATAGTTATTTGCCTTTGATTGAGTTTACTTATAACAATAATTTCCATTTGAGTATTAGAATGGAACCTTTTGAGGCTTTATATGGACAAAGGTGTAGGACACCTTTGTGTTGGTATGAATCTGGTGAGAGTGATGTGGTTGGACCTGAGATAGTTCAACAAACTACAGATAAGATCAAGATGATTCGAGAAAAGACGAGGATTTCTCAGAGTCATCAGAAGAGTTATCATAATAAGAGAAGGAAAGCGCTTGAGTTTGAGAAGGATGATCATGTATTTTTTAGGGTTACTCCGGTAACTGGTGTTGGTAGGGCTTTGAAGTCGCGTAATTTGACGCCTCATTTTATTGTTCCTTATCAAATTTCCGAGAAAGTAGGTGAAGTGGCATATCAGATTTCTTTTCCGCCGTCACTTGCTAACCTCCATGATATGTTCCATGTATCTCAATTGAGGAAATATATTGCATATCCGTCTCATGTTGTCCAATTAGATGATGTGCAGGTAAGGGATAATTTGACCGTTAAGACATCACCTATGTGTATAAAGGATATGGAAGTGAAGAAAATCCGAGGTAAAGAGATTGCTTTGGTGAAAGTGGTTTGGGGAGGACCAGAAGATGGTAATGTGACTTGGGAGCTTGAGAGCCATATGAAGGATTCGTATAACGAGTTGTTCGCT